GTAAAACCTCACTCTCTGGAGGTTACTAACCCCTCTCATCGTTTGGTACCTTACCAGATGTTTTTTGTGCCTTTTATTTATTTATTTATTTATTTTGGAGAGGTTTTTGCTATAGGCGCATGTGTTCACCAGAAAGAGACAGAGGCAGAACGCGAGAAATGACCCACCTAGGGGGGTGGCCACACCACAATCCCTTCTCCTCTATTTTCCTCTCTCGGGATATTGTGCACCCACGCACACGTGCCCAGCGTGAATTTAAGCCAGTGGGTCTGGGACTTGAATCACGGTTGACTACATGGAAGTCTAGCAACATAGCCCAGACAACTGCTGGTCCCCATATTTATTTGTTTGTTTGTTTGTTTGTTTGTTTGTGAGTGTGCGCTCACCAGACAGACAGAGAGAGAAGAGACATAGAGACAGAAAACGAGAAATCACCCCCCAGGGGGGATGGTCACGCCACAATCCCTTCTCCTCCATTCTCCTCTTGGGATCTTGGGCACCCACGCACACGCGCCTGGCGTGAGTTTTAAGCCACCGGGTCTGGGATGCGAACTGCAGTCAACTACGTGGGAGTCCAGCGACATACCCATTACGCTAACTGCTGGTTCCCCCCATATTTATTTATTTTAAACAACTATTTTATTCAGCTTTGTTTATTTCAATCTGACCAAAGGGATGGGGCATGGGAGCCAAGTGAGAAAACAAGCCGCCAGTTCCGAGACTGATATGCTGTCAGCCATGTGGGGAGTCCAGTGCCCTTAACCACTGCGCCACCTGCTGGCCCCCATGCCAGATTTATTAAACCATCAAATACGCACATAGATATTTGGACATCCTGTTCTCCTGAGTGGAATTCCTGGGTGTAAGAAGAAGAATACTTGAGAACAAATTGTCCTCTGGAAAGGTATTAAGCCGGTGTACACTCAAATCAGCAGTGTGAGAATGAATGCTTGTTTCCTCATGCCCGCCTCAATTCTGGATTTCATCCATCTTTTCTGATAAATAAAAATATTATTTTTATGTTTTTATTTTATTCTCTTTGATTTTTTTTTTTTGAAGAGGTTTTTGCTATAGGGCGTGTGCGCTCGCCAGACAGAGACAGAGAAATAGAAAGCAAGAAATCACCCCCCAGGGAGGATGGCCATGCCGCAATCCTTTCTCCTCCATTCTCCTCTCGGGATCTTGGGCACGCACGCACACACGCCCGGCATGAGTTTAAGCCACCGAGTCTGGGACTCGAACCGCGGTCAACTATGTGGGAGTCCAGCGACATAGCCATTACGCTAACTGCTGGTCCCATATTCTCTTTAATTTTTAACAGATTTAAATTTTAATTACTTTCTATGTGGAGCTTTTAAAATACTGGGGCTGTTTTTGGCATTTAAACCTACTTTCATTTTTTTTTTGGTTTTGCCAGATCTCATGCACTCACCAGAGAGAAACAGAATGAGAGACAGACAGACTCCCTCCATGGGGAATAGTCGTGCCACAGTCCCTGCATTATTTCTCCTCCCTCTTAGGATTTGGGGCATGAACCCACATACACCCAGTGTGACTTTCAGGCCTCCAGGTTCAGGACTTGGCCGCATGGTCAGCCATACAGGATCCTCTTGCCTTAACACTGTGCTGACAGCTGCCAATTATCCAGATTTTAAAGGTTTATTGAGAAGAAAATAGATTTAAGTACCATCCATCAGTATGTACGTATTTCCTTTCGTATTGGTCTTATCAACTTATATCTTTTAGAAAAGGGAAAGAAATCTTATCATTTTGTTTTATTTGTAATGAAATAAATAGGTTTGGTTTAAAGGTTGTTCCATTGTAAAGAGGCCCATGCCCACAACTTTCCTGTCTTTTCTTAATTATCACTTCTACCTGTTCTGTGCCCTATGAGGTCCGAAGTCTTTGCTGAATTTCTCCTATCTGCCGTGTGCTGACCATTTGCAGAGATGTAGAAATTCATAAGGGAGTCGCTATCTTTAACGAGGATTTCCTCTAAAATGAGAGACAGATCCCTAAAACAACAAATGATACTATGAAATAAGTACGAGGGTATAAGAGTACTGGTGGCACTGAAAGGACGAGACTATGTTGGGAGAGGAATGCTCCACGAGTATGTTCGGGGAAATGAGCGCTGAGCTGTGTTTTAAAGGATGGATTTTATTTGTTTGTTTTAAGTTCATTTCTTCCATGAGAGATAGCACTCCCAGCAGAGTTCGGACACTGCAGTTCACCCGCAGCCTCAGCCAGCGCAGACTGTGGTTAGGGCTGTGCCCAGGATACATAGGGAGGACTCCAAACATAAATTAGAACTTGGCATTTGGTCAGCCTCAAAGAGCATTGTGTTTTCCTGCTGTGCCACTGTCCAGTTTCCAGCAAATAGATGTTAACCAGGAAAACAAAGTAGAGAAAGGACACTCTGAGAAGATGGAACAGCATTCAGTAATTCACTCAATTTTTTTTTCCTCTTAGGCTTTTGCCATTGGGCAGTGTGCACTCACTGGAGAGAAACAGAGAGAGGGAAAGTAAGAAGTCACCCCCAATGGGGATGACCACGCCACAGTCCCTTTCCCCTTATTCTCCTCTTGAGATTTTAGGCACGTGCACAACACACTCCCAGTATGATTTTTTTAAGAAAGATTTTTGCTATGGGGTACACACACCAGAGAGACAGAAATTGAGAAATCACCCCTCCAGGGGTGGTCATCATGCCACAATCCCTTCTCCATTCTCTTCTTGGGATTTTGGGCACACATACACACATGCCTGGCATGAGTTTCAAGCCACCAGGTCTGGCACTTGAACTGAGATTGACTACATGGTAGTCCAGTGATGTAACAATTATGCCATCTGCTGGTCCCCCATTATGATTTTCTTTTGTTTGTTTGTTTGTTTGTTTTTGGTTTTTTGTGTTTGTTTGTTTGTTTGTTTTTGGGAGGTTTTTGCTATAGGGTATGTGCGCTCACCAGAAAGAGAGAGACAGAAAGTGAGAAATCACCCCCAGGGAGGATGGCCACACTGCAATCCCTTCTCCTCCATTCTCCTCTTGGGATCTTGGGTGCACACACCCCTGTCATGAGTTTAAGCCACCGGGTCTGGGACTCGAACCTCAGTCGACTACATGGGAGTCCAGCAACATAGCCATTACACCAACTGCTGGTCCCCTCCATTATGACTTTCAAGCCACCAGGTACAGAGCTACAATTGGCCACATGGGAGCTCTGTGCCTTAACTGCCAGGGCACCTGCTGTAGGCCACCTGCTAGCCCCATCACTCAAAAATTTTTATCAAACACCTGTTACACACTTGTTATTACCTTAGAAACTTTGCCCTTATTCCTCCTCCTCCCTGGAATATAGATCTTTTTTTCATTTTTTAAAAAAATTCTCTCCTGTTTTTTTTTTTTTCTACTTAAAAGACTCAAATGTTACCACTTAAAAAAGGCCTTCTCTGACCGCCTACCTGAAACTCCCTATTTTCTAGTTTATTATCCTACTTTATAGTAATACAGAAGTTTTACCTGAAACTATCTTTGTGTATAGTCATATGTATATGTGTATATATTACCTTTTTTTTAAAGAGTTATTACTATTTTTAAATTTAACCTTACTTATTTTTAATTTGACCAGGAAGTGTCAGAGAGAGAGAGAGCAGGAAAGTGAGAAAGCAAGCCACCAGGCCAAGGACTTGAACCATGGTCGGCCATGTGGGAATTCAGCACCCTTAAACATCATGCCACCTCTGGCCCCAATATATGTATTAATTACTTCTATTAAATTTTGAGATTATATATTTATGTTTCCTGTCTCTTTCATGAGACCAGACTTAAATCTATATCTCTTTTTTAGTTTAGTTCTTCTCTGTGAGAGAGAGACACCCCAACAAGGTTCTTCACATTTGATCCTCCGCTCGGTCTCAGCCAGCCTGGATCACAGGCACATGCAGACACAGACACACCTGACATGCTCAGGGAGGTGCCAGGATGTGAACCTAGGCTTTTTCCCATATGGATCCTCTTTTGTCACTACTGCACCAACCACCCGGCCCAGATTTAACTCATCTTAATTGCTGTTTCTCCAGTGCCTAAGACACAGCCTGGTATATATTATTCTCTCATGGCCTTTTCACATAATTCTTGTGTCTGCACCTCGTAATAACTCTAAGGAACATAGAGGACCTATCTTTTGTTACTCATAGTCAAATCCTGGGTATCTTCAGTTATAGGGATACCATTGTCCCATCTGAAGCATATTAATACTTAAAGAATGAACCATGTCTTCCATGACATTGGTAGCTTTTGTATGACCAGGTAATTCCAGTTGCCCTTTTTAAAAAGAAATTATTTAACCATTTAAATTTAAAAAAAAAAAAAAAAAAAAGCTTGCAAAAGGTGTTTCGAATCTTTATTCTGACTGTTCTTGAACTGTGAGATTAAAGCTCCAGCTTTTTTAGTTTGAAGTACAGTTTGAGTCTCCCTAATATGAAAATGCAAAATGCTCCAAAACCCAAAACTTAGTGCTGACATGACACCACAAGTAAAAAATGAGTTATAGTCAGAACAGTCTAATACAAATTTTGCAAATACACACATACAGTTTTATATTACATAAAATTACCTTTAGATTATGTATATAAGGCATATATGGAAATAAATGAAATTCATGTTTAGAAATGGGCCCCATCCCCAAGATACTTCATTATCTATTATGAATATTCCAAAATCTGAAACACTTCCGGTCTCAAGCATTTTGGGTGAGGGAATGCCCAACTTGTATTACTTTTGATTGTTCTTATAAATTGACTGATTGAGAATAAACTACCTTACATTTAAATTTATAAGCATTACTCATCAATTGCTATCAAGTAGAAAACACAGGATTGGTCAAGTCTTTGCCTAGTTGGTCTTTTTAGAGTAATTTTAATTCAGTAACATTTATGGATCAGTTGTAAAGTTTATAACTTTATTTAATACTTGATTTGTGCTTTTTATTTTTTAATAGGCAAGAAAATAGTATATCATTGGTGAAAGCTTATTGGAATGAACTTTTTACTCTCGGTCTTGCCCAGTGCTGGCAAGTGATGAATGTAGCAACTATATTAGCAACATTTGTCAATTGTCTTCACAGTAGCCTTCAACAAGGTAAAACATACCTTAATTTATTGCCTTTTTCAAAATGCAGAAGAAACCTCAGTTTCATAATATATAACTACAGTTGAATATAAGATGATAGTATAAATGTTTTAGGTATTAATAGCCTTTTTACTTTAGATAATTTTTACCTTTTTTAGAGAGAGGGAGAGATTTTTGCTATTGGGCATGTGTGCTCGCCAGAAAGACAGAGACAGAAAGCGAGAAATCCCCCCCACCTCCCCCGGGGAATGGCCATGCCACAATCCCTTCTCCTCTATTCTCCTCTTGGGATCTTGGGCATGCATACTTCCACCTTGAGTTTTAAGCCACTGGGTCTGGAAACTCAAACAATGGTTGAATATGTGGGAGCCCAGTGACGTAACCATTACACCATCTACTTGTCCCAATAATTTTTACATTTCAATAAGATTATTAATCATTGAAACATAATTTTAAATGAGAACACAACAAAGTTGAAACCAGTATATTTAAGTCTGGCAGGCTGTTTCTGGACAGATCTTATGAATTTTTGCTCTTTTGTACTGGTACCAGAGAATCCTTAACATGTAGAGGTGATCTCTTTTTATTTCATTTAAGAGATAATTTTGCTATAGAGCATGTATGCTCACAGGAAAGAAATAGAAAGCAAGAAATCACCCTCCAAGGGGGGATGGGCACACACATGTGCACATGCACACACACGCACCCGACATGAGTTTTAAACTCCTAGATCCAGGACTTGAACTTAAAAAAAAAAAAAAAAAGCTTGCAAAAGGTGTTTCGAATCTTTATTCTGACTGTTCTTGAACTGTGAGATTAAAGCTCCAGCTTTTTTAGTTTGAAGTACAGTTTGAGTCTCCCTAATATGAAAATGCAAAATGCTCCAAAACCCAAAACTTAGTGCTGACATGACACCACAAGTAAAAAATGAGTTATAGTCAGAACAGTCTAATACAAATTTTGCAAATACACACATACAGTTTTATATTACATAAAATTACCTTTAGATTATGTATATAAGGCATATATGGAAATAAATGAAATTCATGTTTAGAAATGGGCCCCATCCCCAAGATACTTCATTATCTATTATGAATATTCCAAAATCTGAAACACTTCCGGTCTCAAGCATTTTGGGTGAGGGAATGCCCAACTTGTATTACTTTTGATTGTTCTTATAAATTGACTGATTGAGAATAAACTACCTTACATTTAAATTTATAAGCATTACTCATCAATTGCTATCAAGTAGAAAACACAGGATTGGTCAAGTCTTTGCCTAGTTGGTCTTTTTAGAGTAATTTTAATTCAGTAACATTTATGGATCAGTTGTAAAGTTTATAACTTTATTTAATACTTGATTTGTGCTTTTTATTTTTTAATAGGCAAGAAAATAGTATATCATTGGTGAAAGCTTATTGGAATGAACTTTTTACTCTCGGTCTTGCCCAGTGCTGGCAAGTGATGAATGTAGCAACTATATTAGCAACATTTGTCAATTGTCTTCACAGTAGCCTTCAACAAGGTAAAACATACCTTAATTTATTGCCTTTTTCAAAATGCAGAAGAAACCTCAGTTTCATAATATATAACTACAGTTGAATATAAGATGATAGTATAAATGTTTTAGGTATTAATAGCCTTTTTACTTTAGATAATTTTTACCTTTTTTAGAGAGAGGGAGAGATTTTTGCTATTGGGCATGTGTGCTCGCCAGAAAGACAGAGACAGAAAGCGAGAAATCCCCCCCACCTCCCCCGGGGAATGGCCATGCCACAATCCCTTCTCCTCTATTCTCCTCTTGGGATCTTGGGCATGCATACTTCCACCTTGAGTTTTAAGCCACTGGGTCTGGAAACTCAAACAATGGTTGAATATGTGGGAGCCCAGTGACGTAACCATCTACTGGTCCCAATAATTTTTACATTTCATTAAGATTATGGTCTGGAAACTCAAACAATGGTTGAATATGTGGGAGCCCAGTGACGTAACCATTACACCATCTACTTGTCCCAATAATTTTTACATTTCAATAAGATTATTAATCATTGAAACATAATTTTAAATGAGAACACAACAAAGTTGAAACCAGTATATTTAAGTCTGGCAGGCTGTTTCTGGACAGATCTTATGAATTTTTGCTCTTTTGTACTGGTACCAGAGAATCCTTAACATGTAGAGGTGATCTCTTTTTATTTCATTTAAGAGATAATTTTGCTATAGAGCATGTATGCTCACAGGAAAGAAATAGAAAGAAAGAAATCACCCTCCAAGGGGGGATGGGCACACACATGTGCACATGCACACACACGCACCCGACATGAGTTTTAAACTCCTAGATCCAGGACTTGAACTGCACTTGATTGTGTGGGAGTCCAGTGACATAACCGTTACGCCATTTGCTAGTCCTGGACATAAGCATTTTAAAATACGTGGTCGCTGGGACCAGCAGTTGTCATAATGATTACATCACTGGACTCCCACATAGTTGACCACAGTTCGAGTCCTGGACCTGGTGGCTTAAAACTCAAGCTGGGCGAGTGTGCTTTCATGTCCAAGATCCAAAAAGGAGAATGGAGGAGAAGGGATGGCGGCTTGTCCATCCCCTCTGGGGGTGATTTCTTGCTTTCTATCTCTCTGTCTCTCTCTGTCTCTCCGGAGAGTACATGCACCTTATAGCAAAAATCGCTCTTAAAAAAATAAAAAATAAAATGCATATTTCCCATCAGCTTTTAAACTGCCTTTCTTTATTATAGCTCTTTGAATCCCAGGACAGGCTGATTTTGTATCAGTTCATCAGGATGTATTATCTCATCTAACAGTACCAAAGAATCATGGAACAATCCTTACTTTCTTTTCCTTTTCTAAATGCCAAGGTGATTACAACTCTTGTTTATTCGAGGAGACAGGAAAATCAGTGCTTAACTATAGAATAAATGACTTGTGACTAACCAAGAAGGTATTCCATCTTCAAATGAGGAAAACTGCTTTTCGAGCTCAGGAATAATTTTTAAATTGGAGAGTATGTTTTAGTTCCTTAGTATATTATATTTCTCATTGCTTTATGTAATTGTCAGGCATCTGCTCATGTACAAGGGCAAAGGAATTACCATAAAATCTTACAGCAACAGATCCAGTAGGTAGGAACATCACATTCCCATCTTATCAACAGACTTCCAGTTCTGATTCATTTCTTACATACTTGTGATGGTTATACAGCCTACTTTCAGGAAAGCCATGGTTGACTTATCACTAATCGATGTGTCTTATTAAACACATCTTTTTACAATAATTTAAAATTGTCATTGTAAAATTTTATTTTAATCAACTTTTTCATTTCAAACTTTTTCACAATGTTTTTTTGCAAAATATTTGTTTTTCTGGTTTTTTTTTTCCTTTAATAGTAGAGTTGGTAATTATTTAAAATATGGATGGTTTCACTCATTTTTTTTCCTACCAACATAAACTTAAATAAAATTCTGTTACCAAAATTTAAGTCTTTTATACTTTGTTGGCCAGCTTTTTGGATGATGGTCTTTACATTTTCTCAAAGGTTTATCTGGGAAGAAAACATTACATTTAGGATGTTCTATATTAACAGCTTGTTTTCCTTTAATGAACAATTTTTAAAGGTAATTGTTTTCATCCTTATAGATACTGAAGATTTTCAGTAGGTACTAAATATTTTCAAAGATACTAAATTTCAAATATGTATAGATTGGTTATATTCAGTGTGTGAAATTAGTGAGAAGGAAATAGCAATATATTGGTTGAAAATAGTCATACATTGTGGATGAAAACTAGGTGTTTGTTTTTCATTAAAGATAAAATGTCAACAGAAAGAAGAAAGTTACTGATGGAACACATCTTCAAACTGCAGGAGTTTTGTAACAGCATGGTGAAACTCTGCATTGATGGATATGAATATGCCTACCTGAAGGCAATAGTACTCTTCAGTCCAGGTACCTAAGCATTTACTTATCTACAATACAGTGTTGAAGGTGTGCAGAAATTGGAACCCTTACCCACTGGTGGGAATGTGACTGCACCGTTCCCTTGGGAGTTTAATAGTTCTTCAGAATGTTAAAAATGGGCCAGCCAGTGGTCTGCTGGTTTAACAGTCTGGATCCCATATGATCCACTGTGTGGTTCGGGTCCCCAGTGGCTTGAAAAACACACTGGGTACATGTGTATGTGCCCAAAATCCCAAAAGGAAGGAGAAATAGAGGAGAAGGGATTACAGCATGACCACACTCCTGGAGGGGTGCTTTCTCACCCTCTTCTGTCAGTCTCTGGCAAGTGCATGCACCCTCTGACAAAAATTTTAAAATAATAATAATTAAACATGGAGTTGCCATGTGACACGGCAGTCACAGTCACCATTCATATCACTTATGAGAAAAGGAAACACTGGAATCTTCAAAATTTGTGCATGAATGTTCATGGTAACATTTTTCATAATAGCCAAAAATTAGAAATAACCTTAGTGCCCCTCAGCTTGTGGATGAGTAAAGAAAGTAAAATGTGCACACTGGACTGTCATTCAGCCATTAAAAAGAAATGAAATTCTGATTTGGGATCATAGGAAAAGTCATCATGCATTTTTACATGCAAAAACATAGAAAAAAACATCCTGACTTTTCTGACGACCTAATATTTGATACATGAGTGCCTCTAGAAAACATCTTGCTAAGTGAAAGAAGCCGGTTACAAAGGATCCCATATATTGTTTGATTCCATTTATATAAAACACAAAGAATAGGCAAAATTACAGAGACGTAAAGTAAATTAGTAGCTGCCAGAAGCTATGGAGAGGAGAGGATGGGGAATGAAGGTAATGGGTACAGGGCTTCTTTTGGAGTGAATGTTCAAAAATTGAATCATGATGACAGTTACACAACTGTGAATACTAAAAACTGTTGGATTGTTTCCTTTGAACGGTGAATTCTAAGGATGATAGGCATTTATCTGGGTATGAATAGAAAGGTTAAGCCCTGCACATGGGGAGCCGGATCTCGTATGGCTTACTGTAGTTGAAATCCCAACCTCAGCAGCTTATAAAAACACTGGGTGTGTGTGCACATGTGCCCGAAATCCTGATGGATGGGAGAATGAAGGGAAAGGACTGCCGTGTGATGATGCCCCAAGGGTAGTGCTCTTTCTCTCTCTGTCTTTTGACCATAGTTTGCCTCCTTCATTTTCTTTGGGTGAAACTTGCAAGAACACAAATTTGAAATTAGAATGATAGTAATAGAATTTTTTTTTTAATATTTCAAGTATTACGTTTTACTTTTTTCATTTTGGTATATCAGAACACAGCTTTCCATATTTTTCAGTGTTTTTTGAGTCAGGCATAATTTTTTTGAAGTTCTTTTAATATTTTCACTTATAAAACATTACAGTGATCATTGAAATGCTTTTTTTTTAATGTGTTTCTGTGTTACGATTTTTCTCATAGAGATGTTCACATCTTACTAATTTATAAGTTCCTTTTTACCTAAAGCAGTGGGATATTTTAGTAAAAATGTGGGATAGAATATTTCATGGACTTAAATGCTTAGAATAAATATGTGAGATAAAATAATTTTAAGTGTGTAAAGTACAGGGCTTCTTTTTGACCACTTCTTTCCATCTCTTTCCATATTTCTTGGTATCCTTTTAAATGTGCATTCAGAACTAGGGTAACAATGTATTCTTTAATGTTTCAGATCATCCAGGCCTAGAAAACATGGAACAGATTGAGAAATTTCAGGAGAAGGCTTACGTGGAATTCCAGGATTACATAACCAAAACCTATCCAGATGATACCTACAGGTATCTAGAAGTCATGTATTTAAATAAATAAATTTGAAAAACTTTTGTGAATCTAATGTTTCATTATTTTTATATTATAAGAGAAATTAAATGTCTTAGTCAGCCTTTACCTTTGAAATAACTTCTGCTATTAAAAGTACTACTGGAGCCAGCAGGTGGCATGGTGATTAAGGCACTGGACTCCCACATGACTGACCTTGGTTTGAGTCCCGGACCTGACGGCTTGCTTTCTCGCTTTCCCTTTGCCTATCTCTCTCTGTGTTTCCCTCTGATCAAATGATAAAGATGATTATGAATCTTAAACAAAGATGAAGTACATTGTTACAAGCACTTTATATGTATTTTTTCATCCAGTTCTGACATTTTATGTGAGAGGAGACCTCTGTACAGAAGGTTGAGTAGCTTGCTCAGGGGCATGTAATACCTAGCAGAGATGGTCTGTGAACCCAGGCTGTGTGACTCTACAGCCCAAAATCTTTGTCTTAAGGTGAAAGAATAGATTTACTAGTAAATAGGGGGTAGGGACTGTGAACCCAGGCTGTGTGACTCTACAGCCCGAAATCTTTGTCTTAAGGTGAAATATTATATTTACTAGTAAATGGGGGTAGGGGGGATGAAACACTACTATTTTGTTCTGCTTTATAATTAATTTTGAAACATGGCTTATCATATCCCTTTCAACTTATTTCTTGTCAGGGTCTGAAAAAATTCTAAGAGCCGCTCAATTGTGGTAGAAGGACAGTATAGCTACATGGTTAAGCACTTGGCAGTCAGAGCCAGAGAACCTGGGTTTGTATCCTGCCTCTGTCACTTACTAGCACATTCCCTTGAGCAAGTTTTTTTTTTTTTTTTTAAACTTCTCTGTTTCAGTTTCCTTACCTGTGAAATGGAGGTAGTAATAGTAATTCATATTTTACAGTTATTCAAAGATGAAATCAGTTAATACATGGGAAGTGCTGAGAGCCATTCCTGTTAGACAGTAAAAACTGTATCAGTTCAGTGTGTTTGCTCATACCCAATAAAACATTTGTATTAGTTTAGCGTATTTCAAACCAGTAAAAGAACCTAACATTTCAGAAGCTGCTTTAAACTCTTCCTCCTTTTTATATACAGCCGTTCCATTAGTTTGCAGGCGTTTTGATCTCTGGAACTCGTTGTCAGTTTTTTATCCTGCTTATTTAGAAATAAGGAGGATAGCAGTTTTCAACCTATAATGCACTTTCATATAAGACATGATCCTGCCCTGGAGGTCCTTGCTCATTAGCACGGGAACCGGCAGGGATCGCTTCCTTCATTCTCAGAGCAGTGCAGAATCAGGCAGCAAGTGGCTTCGCACATTCACAGTTGGGGGCAGGTGAATCGGGATGTGAACTGAATGGTTTTGATTCCATATTCTGTGCACTTCCCAGTAATAACAGTTGTTGTCTATTTTACCATTTCCAGTAGTTTTTTCGAGAGAAGGAAAGGAAAAAAAAAATAAAAACTATTTGAATTGTGCGTGTCTTGATAACACAAAACATTTCTGTTCTATACTCTGTAGTGAGTTGCTGAGCCATTCTTAAGTGTATCACTTGATCCGTGGTTTCTAACTGTCATTAGTTCCATGGTCCTTATAGCCAAGTGGAGGCAGCACAGCACAGCGGTTAAGAGCATGGCTTCCCTGTGGAGTCTTTTCAGACTGCATTAATATCATTGTGATTGTCATACCTGCTAAGCTAGAGATGATTATAGTTTTGGTTTTAACTTTTGAAAATTAGATCTTTATTAAATTATGACACGGATAATAAACAGGCAGTATTACTTTTTTCCTAAATCTCTTTGATTTGTAACCTTGCCCCCACTTCTCTCTTTTTAGGTTATCCAGACTGCTGCTCAGATTGCCAGCTTTAAGGTTGATGAATGCCACCATCACTGAAGAATTATTTTTCAAGGGTCTCATTGGCAACGTACGGATTGACAGTGTCATCCCACACATTTTAAAAATGGAGCCTGCAGATTATAACTCTCAAATAATTGGTCACAGCATTTGAAAGCTGGGATCACAGTGCCATAAACTTACTGTTCTCTCCTAGAACATAAGAAGACACCAAATTGAACTCACTGCTTCCAGGGTATCTGGAAATTTTGACTTTCAAGAGTAACCAAAATCTAAGAAATTTTAAAGAATTTTTTGAAGTGACTGGGCAGGTAGCAGGAAGTAGCATTTTCCCTTCCTGTCTTATTTAAATGAGTAGGAAACACTATGAATTTATTCTTGGTAAAGGGGACAAGTGAAACTGTCACCTTTTGACTAAACTAAGATCTCTCTATTTTATTTTATAAAACAAATAAATTAGTTTTTTTTTTTTTCCTTCTGAATTGTGTTCTATTCCTGTTTAACTTCATCATGATCTAGTACAAACACATAATGGTCAGAAATTCCTAAAGAGGAGTTCCTTATATTTACTCTTCTGTATGATGTTTTAATTACTGTGACAAAAGAAGATTATTTTATGCTTAATGGTATAATGATAATATCAGAACTACAAGAAATAATTGGGTCTATATTTTTTGTCTTTTGTAAATAGCGCTGCTCAGCATACACCAGTCTCATTGCTGGCAATGAGGTGGGAGCCATTCATGACCTTAAGAGCTGACATTTCTAGTGTTGTGTGTTATTAGTTATAAGCACTTTTTATTTATGTAGCTAAAAACTGTTTTTGAGAATAAAATGGGGTTCATCTTTTCATAGATTTGGATTACTGCTGTGTTCTAAAAGTAGTAGAAACTAAGCCCAAAATGTTTCAGTATTTCAAAATAGGTATGAAAATTGTTGCTCTTGCATTCTGCAAAAAGCACCTGACCTCTGTCCCTCTTTCTGACCTGTGTTTCAGCTTCCTGATCTTGTCATGGGTGTTAGCCAGTTTCTTTTAGGTCATTAGAAAAACTCACCCAATTTGTTAAATAGATTTATTGTAGCCAGTCTGCATTTTCAAGGTGAGTTAAACAGTAATTTTAAAGCAGCTGATAGTTTTCTAAGATAAATATGCACTGATTTTTCACTGTAATGGGGACATGGCATGGAGGGGGTAGCTACATTAATAATAACAGAAGGATTGGCCTGAAGCCGTGTTATTGCCACAACAAAAACACTGACTTCTTGAGTGTCTTCCACAGTAATATTCTCCTTAGCAGATCTGATACTATTAAATATTTCCTTGCTCTGATTTCACAGTGAATTATTTTGATATATCTATTTGTTGATTTTTAAAACATAAAAATGGAGATTTTATTGCACTCAGAAAACACTTTTTATAAAGATTTTTTTCAATAGAAATTGAAAGTTTTTTGTGGGATGGATGTGTGGATTTATTAATCACTACTTTCTAGTAATGAAGTATTTAAAAGTATCAACTTATAGTATATACCAGCTAATTAACGGAAACTTTTTTTCCTTTTTAAAACATGATTTGAAGCCAGCCGGTGGCACAGTGGTTGAGGTGGCTGGATCCTCCATAGCCCACTACATGGTTCGAGTCCTGAACCTGGCTGCTTGATAAGTACACTGGCACATGTGCGTGCGTGCCCACAATCCCGAGAGGAGAATGGGGGAGAAGCGATTGTGGTGTGGCCATCCCTCCCTGGTGGGGTAGGGAGTGCATTCTCACCTCTCTCTCTCTCTCTCACTCGCCCTCCACGGCAAGCACATGCATCATGTAGAAAACTAAAAACATGATTTTTGTCAACTGCTTTATTTATAGTTAACAGTTGGCAAAAATGACATTTAGTATAAAATACTCAAGTGGATAATCCGTATGTTTACTCCTTTATAAAGCCAAAGGAGTAAGCCAAGAATTCTGGAAAACAATCCTTTAAAATAATGTACTAATGGTTGATTGATTAAGATGTTTCAGGTATTTTTCCTGATTGAATTTGTAGTTATATTTGGAAGTGTTTTTAAAACTATATTAAAATGTGACTTGTATTACAAATTTCTGTATCCTGCGAATATATTTGATTTCAGTGTCTTATTTGTTTATTGTTTGGTTATCCCTTGCTTGTTTGTTCTGCTGTGTTTTTATCTTTTAAATATAGATTTGCTATAGTAAGAAACCATAATAAAATTTATGATTGAGAGACCAGCAGATGGCATATAATGGTTACATTGCTGGACTCCCAGGTAGTCAACTGCTGTTCGAGTCCAGGGCCCAGCAGCTTAAAATATTCACAGTGGGAGTGTGTGCATGCATGCCCAAGATCCTGAGAGGAAAATGGAGGAGAGGGAAGTGCAGCCTGGCCATCCCCCCTGAGGGGTTTCACTTTCTCTCTCTATGTCTCTGTCTTTCTGGCGAGCAAATGCACCCTATAGCAAAAACCTCTCAAAAAAAAAAAAATCTGGGATAAGTTTTTTTATTATTACTTTTTTTTTTTTCATTTGCTAGAGGGCGCATCTGTTCAACAGAGAGAGACCGAGAGGGAAAGTGAAAAAGCATTCCCCGCGGGACCAGCAAGTGGCATGGCAGTTGAGGCACTGGACTCCCACATGGGTGACTATGGTTCAAGACCCAGGCCCAGCAGCTTGAAACTCATGCTGGGCATGTGTGTGTGCATGCCCAGAATCCCAAGAGGAGACTAGAAAAGTGGAAGAGAAGAGATTGCAGTGTGACCATCTTTCTGAGTATTGATTGATTTCTCACTTTTCTCTTTATTGCTCTGTCTTTCCAGCAAGTGCAGACACCCGCTGCAAAAATCTCTCCAAAAATACAAGCATTCCCCTTGGGAAACGGTCATGCCTCAATCTCGTCTCCATTTCTCCCTCTTTTGGGGATTTCAGACATACACACACATGTACCCAGCATGCTTTTCAAACTGCATGGTCTGGGTCTCGAAGCATGCTATCAGCCATGTGAGATCCATCTGCCTTGACCACCACCCCACTTACTGTCCTTGGGATGAGTGTTCAATGGCTAAGGTTGTTTCAGGTCATGAGTACCTCCTGGTCCTGGCAGACAGAAATGTAAACATCTCTGGAGAAACTCCACAATCAAGATACAGTGTTTGCATACTTTTGTCTATAAAAGGTCCAGAAAATGAACATCTATGGTTTTGCAAGCCATGCAGTGTCTGTGGGAACTACTTAAAAAGTGTAAAAGCAGGTGCAGTCTACATATATGAATGGGGATGGTTATGATCCAATAAAACAGGCAGTGGATTGGATCTGGCTCTGACATGTCACTTTGTAAATCCCTAATTAAAATGTCAATGTTCTCAAAAATTAAGCTCAATCAAATGTGAATTCACAGAATTTTCAAACTCAAGTCAGAAATAAACCCACATAGACCCTCAAAGAGAATATTAAATATTGAAATTGTTACATACAGAATATAACTATGTTTTAAGAAAATGCTGGATTCTAAAAGTAGGCAAGACAAAGGGACAACAAAACCAAATAGATTTGAAAAGCAAAAAAATGAAAAAAACTTCAAAATTTAAAGAGTAATGTATGTATGGTAAAAAATGTCTTGAACACATAGATTTAACTCAGCTCCCTTCTGAAACTGCATTAAACACAGCTAAAGGTTGGGACAGAAATAAGTGATAACCACAAATTTTGAGAGATAGAAAGTAGTGGTAATTAACCTGGCAAACCTAAGAAGGCTGACTTCTTATCCTGCTGTGCAGAAAGCAGAGAAGCAACCCTATTTACATACTGATCCTCCAAAATGCTTTTGTATTCAGCTTCTTTAAAAAGGCAAATGAAAGCATTGTTGAAAATCTATTTAGGGGGCTGGCCCCAAGGGAGCCAGATCCCACATGCGTACCCAAAATACTGAAGGATGAAGAAATGGAGAAGGGATTGTGGCAGGACCATTCCCCACTGGAAGGCAGAGGTGGTTCTTTTGTTCCTCTCTCTCCTCCCCACCTTTGCACATGCACACACACGTGTCCCCAGCAAAAGAGAGAGAGAAAAGGAATAGGAAAATAAGTGTTCGTGAAGATTGGAACCCTTGTGTACCATAGGTAGGAATGTAAAATGGTGTAGTTATGGAAAAGAGGAGAAACCTTTAAAAATTAAAATTACCATATTATTCAGCAATCCACTTTCGGGGATAGATTAAAAAAAAAAAGAAAGAAAGAAAGCAGGCCAGACAGTGGTGCAGTAGTAAAATGGCAATGCTCTGTGAGGCCAACCTAAATGGGAGGGTTTAGACCCCGTATGCTAGGCCCATGATGGAGGGCTAGTGGAAGCTGTCTCTCCCATAGGAGCTGGATTTTAAGAGCCAAGGACTGAGGAGAGATTTCTCTTTACAGAAGAACCATGGTTAATAAATGAGAAAGGAAATTATTTAGACAATACTGATAAATAGTGGCTAAAAAACTAAAAAGTGCAAGAAGATACCACATCCTTCCTGAAAGGAAGGATATCATAAAAACACTGGGAAAGTCAGAATGCTTCTTGGTAGCCATGTGATGATATTAAGAAATTATTTTTCGAAGTAAGATAATGGTAATGTTTTTAAAGAGTTCTTATATATATAAAATAATATTTTCAAATACAATTTGTGTGTGTGTGTGTGTGTGTGTGTGTGTGTGGTGTTTTTTAAAGACAGATTCTAGCTATTCACGATCCTTCTGCCTCAGCCTCCAAAGTAGCCGAGACTACAGGCCTGCACATCACTTTTTTCAGAGTGGGCTATAGCAGAACCTAAGCCTTCCATGTGGCCTCAGCCTGCTGCACAGCATCATCCTGCCATGGATTGCTGAGCTGACCACAAGTGGAATCTTTTTTAAGTCAAAAAAGAAGGGTCAGCAGGTGGAATGGTGATTAAAGCACTGGATTTCCACATGGTGGAAATGGTGGACTGCAGTTCAAATCCCGTACCTAGCAGCTTTCTCTCTTTCTCTCTCCAAATTTAAAAATTAATTATTTTAAAAAAATCAGGAAAGGGGGATCAGTAGTTGGCATAATGGTTGCATCACTGGACTCCCACATAGTTGACCACAGTTCAAGTCCCAGACCAGGTAGGTTAAACCTCACGCCAGGTTGAGTGTGTATGCATGCCCAAAATCCTGAGAGAAAAATGGAGAAGAAGGGATCATGGCATGACCGTCTCCCCTGGTGAGTGATTTCTTACTTTCTGTCTCACTCTGTCTCTGGCAAGTGCGTGCACCCTATAGCAAAAATTTCTTAAAAAAAAAGAAAAAAAAAACGTGCATGAGAGATGCAGCTCAACATAAATGCAAATATTGCATAATTCTGAGTCATTGATAGAAATTCCTGATCATGATATTTGGAAGTTTCTTCTTTGGTGTTGAAGATTTACTACCATAAAATAACCTTCCTTCTAAGGGTCCAGTCATTACTTGGTCCTGTCAAGAAATAGTACTGTTGGGGCCAGATGTTGGTGCAGTGGTAAACAAGGCCACTGGGAACCTGGCTCTTAATCATTAAGCTACTAGGTTGGCCTTACTATGTAAGCCTTATAAACTGTACATCTCACGATATACAGACTAGAATCTGAAAGGATGAAAAAATGAGAATGGATGAAGGACATGATCATGCTGAGGAGGAGGAATACCAAAAAGGGCACAATTCAATATCTACTCTCAAGGATTTTGTATTCATGCAATGAGGAATGCATTCCAAACTAAGGGAACTAGGAAACCCATTAATTATGGGTTAAAGAATATAAGCGTTAAAGCATAGTTTAGATAATGGCTAGAATACTAGAAATTTTTATTCTATACCCCTTATTTACAATTTTAAAATTTTACGCACAAATTACTTTTCTAGGTGTTTTGTTCGAGGGTGTTGGCTTACCAGAAAGAAACAGAATAAGGTGGGAGGCAACTCCCCCAAACGGGGGAGTGGTCACACCCCAATCTCTTCTCTTCCATCTCTCCCTCCTTGCAGGATTTTGGGCACACCCATATGTGCATTTCTCAGGGGTGTGGGACTGACTGCAAACAAGCAGTTGGCTATGTGGGATGTGGTTACCTTAACCACCAGTCCACAGAGAGGCCTATAGTAATGTTTTAAAATGCATAAATGTTAGATTTTAACCTGGCAAATAAAAATCCTTGAGAGCAGATACTTAATCTTACCCTTTTCGGTATTCCTTCTTCTCACTCCCCTACACACACGATGCTAGTATTTGTACTCAGTATTCTAAGCACGCAATATCGAATGTACAATACCGATACGTTATCACTATCGACTCCTTAATGTTTTCTTGTTTCTGAAGAATCTTGACGCTGGAAAGATCTTTGTTATAGTTTGAGTCAATCATTTTTAGATCAGGAAATTGAGGTTCCCCGAGGAGGAATCCCCGTCTAGGGAAGCCTTGACCAGGTGGGCTTTCCATCACATACTCATTTTCTAGCTGCAACATCCCCAAACTCTATGATGCTCTCGTCTACCAGAGAAACCGTCCGCGCCTACCAGGAATCCTGAGCAGATCCGCGAAAGCGAGCTCTAGCTTTGCGCATGCGCATACCCCTCCTGGTCTGGCTCACGGCTGGGAACGATTTGTGCATGGGCTGTTTGCGGCTGAGGGGCCGCTTCCGCCCGGTGCATTTTCCTCGGCGCATCCAGGAGGCGGGGCCTGCTGCGCAAGATGGAGTTACTGCAAGTCCTGAAGCGGGGGCTTCAGCAGGTCAGCGGCCATGGCGGCCTCCGCGGCTATCTACGAATTTTTTTCAGGTTGGTGGTCGGATTCCTGCCCTCGGTCTTAGGGGCTGGACGTGCGCCGTCTGGTTTCTTGGAAAGGGCTCGGTCATGGGTCACCTTGGAGAATCCACTGCTCTCGTCAAGGACAATCGACCTAATCAATGCCTTGCAACCCCTAGGTCTGGTCTCTATTCCTGGCTCTCTGAGAGACATCTCCGAGATCGAGCTTTGAAACCGAGGTGCAGCTGTCTGGGCTGCACCCCGTCCCAGGTCTTGGAGAGTAAGGAGCATGTCACTCGGTGACATTGGGAAAGTTGTTTTCCCTGCTCAGGCCTTTGGTTCCCTCCCTGTGTAATAGGACGTTGAAGGGGATGGCCATGGTGATGGCACCTAGTCCTGGCATTGCTAGGTCCAACGAACGGTTTCGTCCGCAGAAACCAAATTGGAGTTCCAGAGTAGGATGAAAGAGCTAGGGGACATTCGTATAGATTTCAGATGAAATTGGCTTTCTGATTTTTTGGAGGTTTTGCTAACCCCAGGGCCTTATGGCACAGGAATAGTATTTAGATAAATAGCATTTAGTAGACCTGTCATTTGAAAGTAATGGCATTTCTTTTTTTAGTATAATTTAAGCACATCAGTTGCATCAACATAGTTTTTCCCATTCTGTCAATGTGATAAACAGGGATGCTAGCAGGCTTAACTGAAAGTTGATTCTTCAATTTTGGGTGGTAAGAGCCTGGAGATGAAAGCTAGAAGGGTATATCCAAGTATTTCAGTTTTCTAGTTGATACCACAGCCTTTGTGTCTGAAAATTGGTTTTCTCACTTTATTTCTATTTGTGTTTTGAACACAGAATCCATTTTAAGTGTCTGTTTTCTTTCGGGTATTCACAGGACAAATGATGTGAAGGTTGGTACATTAGTAGGAGAAGATAAATATGGAAACAAATACTATGAAGATAACAAGCAATTTTTTGGTGAGTAGTACTTTTTGGTATGAATAATTGGATCGAGACTTGATTTCAGTCTATTTTCCATATATACAAAGAACTAATATGAAGCGCTGGGAAAGGATGACAAACTTAAAAACTTAATAGAAAAATAGAAAAAGGGGCCAGCAGGTAGTGGGTCCCACTAGGTACCACATGGTCAGCTGCATGGTTGGAGCCCAATCCATCAGTTTGAAAATCACACCTGGCACACATGCATGCATGCCCCAAATCTCAAGAACAGACTGGAAGAGAAGAGACTGTGGCATGGCCAGTCCCATGGGTTGTGATTTCTCACTTTTCTTCCCTCTCACTGTTTGTCTAGTGAGCACACGTGCCCTGTAGGAAAAACTAAAATATAAATAAATAAAATAAAATAAATAAAAATAACCCAAAGAAAAAGAAAACTAAATGGGCAACAAAGGCATGAAAAAATGCTCATCCTCACATATAAGAAATGCAATTTGTTTTTTGGGTTTCTTTTTTTTTCTTATTTGCTACAAGATACCAGTACTTTTTGGAGAAAGAAAGAAAGAAGGAAAGAGGGAGAAAGTAAGAAATTACCCCTTCCTCCCACCCCCAGATGATAGCCACATGGCACTCTGCCTCCATTTTCCTCTCAGGATTTTGGGCATGCATGTCCATGTGCCCAGTATGATTTTCAAGCTGCCAGACCAGGTCTCAAACTCTGTAATTGGCCTTAACCATTATGCTACCTGCAGGCCCAAGAAATGCAATTTAGAAAAATGTTATCTGTTTTTACCTATCAAATTTTGAAGTGTTTTTTAGTCTGATAATTCTCAATGTGGGAAAAGGCACAGGAATATGAGATTTCAAAAAATTCATAGAAAGTGGAATTAAAGTACAAGTTTAGGGACACTGAGTGACACAGAGGTTTAGGTACTAGTACCATTACACAAGGGACCAAATTACAATCCTTGAACCTTTGGGAAACAAACTGTTATCTGTCCCAACCCAGGGGACAGTCGAACAGGTTCCCTGGGGGAGGGAGTGAGAGATGGGACAAACACACGCACACACACAGAGTGGAGACAATACAAGGTGCTGATCAAGTCTTCTTCCGTTTATTGAGGAAAAAAATGGCGAGTTATGTACAGGCTGGTGGGCACTGATTGGTTGCCCGAAATGCAAATGAGATAGAACAGCATGAACCAATCATTGGTGTGGGTGGATCTCTCCCATTGCCTAGAAACCCAACTGCCCCTCAGGGAGAACAGTTGGTCACATGATTTCTGAGAAACAGTTTGCTCAGTGAGGAAGTGAAGCCTAATGGTTTCCAAGATGGTGGATAGCTCAAGATGGCGGATAGCTCAAGATGGCTTCCATATGCAGTGCCCTCCACATGTTCCCCTTTTTTATTTTTTCAAAGAGAGGAGAAAAACCTGGGGG